TTGCGGGCAAACAACTGAGGAAATCAGTATTAGGAAGTAAAAATTAGTAAGATGCTAAGCATTAGCTATGACCAGCTAACCGGTGATTTTAAAGAAGGCAAACCCCTAATCCACCTAAGTTATGGACCAATTTATCAAAGACGAGATCATTCATTTTATTAACTTAATTAACTTCTTTTTTTTTCTTTTGATTACATTGACTACAAATCTATCTTTAGGCCAGATATCCTTGTTTGGGTTGGTCAAATATTTTGCAATCCATACCCTGCTTATTTACCACATATTATTTATATATATATATATATATAGAGAGAGCTTGCATATATTCTAGCATGTTAGCATTAGCCTAAAGCAGCCATTGTATATAGTTACACACAGATCGATTTTTATTATCTTGGCCAAATGGGCAGCAAGAACAGAGTTCCACCAATGAAAGACAGAATGATAGGGAAATTATACACAATAACACAAATGAATAAAAACATTTAGATTTTTAAATAACATATAGTATTAGTGTCCTGTTCCTTTAAAATTGATGTAATAAGATTGTCATAATGATATCAGTCAAGTTCAGTTCAAGTTAATTTTGTTGATTATTCCAGGAGAAACCATTTCTATTCTGACCTGAGGAACTGCCATTTGAATGCTTTGTTAGGAATGCAAGCAATCCTGCATTTGCTTATGCATATGTAAGCACAGAGGTAAAATGGAAGGAGCCTAATAATATTATATAAGAGATAAAAAGGAAGTTCTGTTGGACCTTTGCACATCTCTCTAACCTCAGCTGTCATTTAGGTGTTTAATAAGAGCTTTTGCAGAGGCGAAGCCTTGTTCTCTTGTCTCTCCCCTGCATTCATATTCACCTCATGTCGGCTCTTTCTTTTAAAAAAGAAAAACAATCATTTACGTTTGTCCCTGGGGTTCCACCATTTAATTGCAATGTGTAGGTGCTGTGATATTTTTAATAGCATTGAGCTCCCCAGTCTGTGACGCTGCAGCGATCAGCCAGTTAAACTACAGGGGAAGCAATGGAAATACAGGAAGGTGGTAGACACAGACTTTGGGGAATTTATTCCTGCTGCTGCTACAGCTTTAAGCAAAGGCTGTCACAGGAGGTGTAGAGTTAAAAGAATGAAGAAAAAACACGAGAAGGAGATGGTTTTTAGAGAAAAACAGGTGAGGTCACATGGATTTTGAAAGGAGCTCTGTGGATGTTTAGGCAGCATGAAGCTGAAATAATGGAGAAAGAAAGAGGAAATGAGGATTTACCTGCAAGATTTTGCATCATTAGATGACTGGGGTACTTTCTGATGACAGAAATCCTATAAACTTTTCTTTGGATATGAGAAAGATTGAGAATTATCTTGAACATATTCATCCTTTGACTGACAGTTAAGATAATTTATGTCCAGTGCTTTAAAAAAAAGCAGAGTCAAACGGATGAAAATAAGTATAAGATAATCTGTCCTGGTCCTGATGTAGCCCTCTCCTTTGGCTGAATTAAGTATGTGTCCCCTTTAGCTGCAGGAGGCGCACACTGTGTCCTTCTCTACATGCAGCAGACTTACTCTGTGCATTAGTAACACCAGGATTTTGGGAAGCCTAATAAATATACAGTGTTTTAGATTATGAGGAGTTAAAGTTTACATGATTTTAAAATTTAGTTTAAACTGGAAAATATCTCATCAGCTCACCTAATGTTTTTTGGGGGCTTTTTATGACAGGAAGCATAACTATACACTAAAATGCACAAACTTCCTTTTAACATGTATAGTTATTATGTAAAAACTAAATGTAAATCCCATATCATTAAAATGATGATTAACTAGGATTAAAAAGGCTTTATTCTCATAAGCGCTGTAAGAAATAGGTCTATATGCAATTATTGTGGCTCGTTCCCTTGTATAAACCAAGCAAGTCTGAGTTGCAATGCAGAAAATAATCAAATAAAACTTACAGAAGTTCATATTTTAAGTAATCTAAAGGTTTGCAAGTGTCTCTGCTTTCCAACACAATCACATTATTGTAATCAAGATCAGATTTTTCTTTGAATCAAACTTAGTCAGCTGACGGTAAATCTAAAGATTTTAAAATCTTATTGGAGTTTCAGGATAAATGTTAAGATGCACAGGGATGCCAGCAATTGTGCCATCTGTTATTTTCTCAAAAGGTTTATCAACACTGCATTTCCTCCTCCCTGAATCAATTTTAATACTTCGGCGTGGAATTACACCACAGCAATGAAAAAGAAATCAATTTGTTCGAATAATCTTTGCACATCTCTACAAGAAGGATATTAAATCTGTCTGTTTATGATATTTACTTGGTTTTAATAATAGCTGCCATCATAGTAGGTCCTGCAGTTTATCCACTTAAACATTGCAATGTAAAAGGACAATACTTTAGAAGAATGCAAAGGCAATAGAGGCTGTTGTAGAGTCTTTCCTCCTTCCTGATTTCTTATGTTTTTGCATGTTGTCAATCTTGAGTGTTTCATAACATCAAACAAATTCAAATATTAGTCAAAGACAACTCAAGTAAATGCAAATTATGCTTTTTATTAAAAAGATAAATAGATAATCCATACCTTCAAGGCCATGTGTAAAAAAAAGTAAGGGCAAGTGATGGGTTCGGTCATCCATTACTGCAAAGACCACAGTCAAGTGTTTGCGATAGTTTTTGCAATGACTGATTTGCATTTCTGTATAGGTGTCTTTGGCCCTCTCGTCTTCTCAGCATAGTTGCTTTTCAGCCACATTGGAGGGGTGTTGAGCATGCACTACCTTTTTAAGGCCACGCCTTCTCAATAGGATTCAGTTCCAGACTTCAACTTGGTTCCTCCAAGTTTTAATGTAGTTTTTCTTCAGCCATTCACTGGCTGTTGACCCTAAGCTCATTTCAGCTTGAGGTCACAAGAGATGGCCAGACATACTCCCTTAGGATCTTTTGTTAGACAGTTATTTTTACAGAACTATTTTTTTACAGCAGGTGTTACATCCTGAAGCAGAAATGGAGCTCCAGTCCATCACACTTCCACCACTTTATTTGACTTTTAGTATAATGTTTGTTTCTGCATTATAGTTTTCTTTATACATCAATGGGGCACACACCTTAGAAAGTCTTTGAATAATAATGTGGTTTTATCCAAGCAGCCATTTTTGCCCAGTTTCTTTCTTTTGGTGAAGACCCGCACCTCTTTGGATATAGGTTCGAGGTCTTTACTTACCTCTTAGATTAGTCATCGCTGTGGTCTTTGAGTAAATTTGTTTTTAATATTTATGGATAATGGCTTTCACTGCTGTTCAGTTGAGTCCCAATACTTTGGAAATATCTGTGTGACCCCCTTTCAAAGTGATGCTTAATTACTTTATTTTTTCCTGAAGTTCTGTGGGTCTTGACATAAGGTCTAGCTTTTAAGCATATTATTGTGTACTTCAGTTTGTCTGGCAGCTCCTATTGAAACCATTTATTTATAGGTAATAGTTGTTGCAGTAATTCTGCCCGGATAATGCTAGAAAAAGTGAACTTAGGGGGAAAAAATACATTTTTGTTGCGTTAACATGGAGGTAATAACCTTTTCACATAGTCAGGTATATCCGGATAATTTTTTTCTCCTTTATTACTATTTAATTGTATTTAATGTTATGAAAAACTTAAGGTTGACACAAGTAAATAACAAACACAAAGGGGACAAACACTTTTTACAACACTGTGTGTTAACACATACCTCCATTTCACCTAAAATGCATGCCCCTACAAAACCAACACCTACATCAAGAGGTAAAAATC